TAAGACTAAATCAAAATTTGCTGTCAAAATTAACACGGATCTAAATGAATAGTACCTTAGTATATTAGCTAGGTTACAATGGGGCTAAAGGCACACCCTAACATTTGCTTTTCACATATGATTGCAGAAAAATATATACACACGGGGTAAAACCAGCACAAAAGACACATAGTATTGATACAAATACTTTAGCTAAATTAATATACTTTTAATAATCCCTAAGTTGATAGTTTATAGGTCAAACTCAAAATTGGGGGGTGGGGGGGTTCACCATCGTGTATGTTGTCAGTCAAACTCCTTATTGCCCCCTTTTTTGGTTTAAGCCACTGCCCTTCAAAATGTCTGTGCACGGCCCTGAGTAACAGTAGGCTAAGTCAGTCTTCCCGCTAGACTTCCAAGGTTATAATATAACCTTGGAATTATGTTCATTTGAATGAATGACTGGACGTTTATATTTTTTTGACTGTGAGTGGAGTTTGCAGATGGTCCCTTTATAAAATGTGGCGAATATCAAACTTCACTGCGCTCTCGGACCGGTTGCTCTCCCATTCACATGCAAAGTTAAACGCAACTGCAGAATTTCATGTTAAGCTTTTTCTTTTTAACAGGCTCGGGAAGGAAAATTTTATTAACTTGAAACGCCGTACGCCGTATGTTCATGTAGTCTCTTGTCTGTAGGCTATATAGTTTTCCTCCCATAGAGCATAATATTATAAAGAAAAAGCTTAACGTCAATGCAGTAAGACGGTGATATTTAAACTCAATAGCCAATACACCTTATTGAGCATGCAACGCGCGATTGCACGTTAAGCGTTTTATTATGGTTTTCTATGGGTGTTCATAATCTGATGTTATCTGTTTGCCTCTATAAAGTATGCTTTATTAATAGGGTAGGCCTATATTATTGTGTACTAAATTTGGTGCTTCAATATCACTCTCATTAAGCGTCTTAAATGCGGAAGAACGCTTGATTATGCTGCCGTTGTCTGTTTTAGCAGAATACTGCCATCTAGTGGTAGCAGCTTTTCTCAGACAGCTGTGTGTGGATCGTGCAAGGCGAAACCCGCGAAATAAAAGTCTCAAAATCCAAATGAATCAAATAGGATCGACTCAATGAATCGAGTCAATGAATGCACGCGCGTGACCTGATCCACACATGCACATCTTCTGTGTTGCATGTGCAAATTATGATACACTAATACAAAGGAAAACATTTGTATTCACAAAAATGTCTCTATTTGTACAAATTGCTTCACATTCATTCAATTTTGAATTTTGCACACGCAAGTTGAAAGGCATGGATAAAACATTTCTGCAACATCTATCAAGTTCATTGATAAGTGTGCTTGCACGTGTTAATCATTTTGATACTATAATCATCCCATACATTAGGACCTAAAGGAGGTAAAGAAGAGGAGATATGTTGAAGCAATCTAATAATTTGGCCCAATTAATTTTAAGGGTATTCTTGAATGTACAAAAGTCAAACATGTCCCAGATAGCACACGTACATCACGGAGACGTCTATTTGATGTGTGTGTTTACTTCTGGAAGACGTATTTATGTTTTAGAGTGTTTGCTCATCTGCAATACGTCTATAGGACGTTTCCTGTCAGATGTCAAATAGACGTTTAGAAGATGTCTTTAAGATGTGATGATTTAGAATGTAGGGTGAATTGCCCTAATGTGGACATTTTTTGCACTTCAGACTTCTGTGCCATATTGCGATGTGTAACCAAAACATTAAATCCACACCCAATACCATTTTAAAAACCCCAGTATGTGTCCTAACCAAATCAAAAGAGAAAATTCAGATAACCCATTCATAAGAGAAATTATAGACATATTAGTGCTCTTATTGCAAGTTGTCTGAAATAATCAGCAGCTTCCTAATGTGGGACAGTTGTTTCCCCAATGTGGGACACTGAAAAATCTATGATAAAATATCAAAAATCACATTGATACATGTAGAATAGTAAAATCTTATTTTATTTTAGATTCTCTCTTAAATCTTAGTTAGTAATTTTCTTTGTTATGAATGAATGAAACATGTAAAATAACAAAATCTTTAGTTATATTATCCATTTCCAGTAAACCAGTATCACAATCCATAAACAAGACCATTATATCAGTTATAGTGATGCATTTGTAAAACCCCTAAAAAATAAACAGATAAACTTTGGACCAAAATAATTTGGTATAATTACAACTAAAAAATAAATGTACAATTGTTTCTGTTTCCTCTTTACCAAAACAGCATAATGGAGAAACCCCTTCTTTAAACTTACTGATAAAATCATTACATGGATCCTATCTATTTATTATTTTAAAGTGAGTTTCTTTGACTTATTTATTAGGAATTACATATTTATTAATATCTGACCACAGATTCTGAAAAAAGGTCATGAAAATCCTGTTACCATTTCATCAATGCCTTAGGTGAAACATTTTTTCTTTAGTTAAGATTTGTCTAATATAACCATTATTCATATTTTTATTAAAATAAAATAAAAAAATGTTTAAAGGGGTCATATAGTGCCATTTTTGTACAAGCTAATATGATTCTTTAGGGTCTAAATTAAAAGTTTGTAATATACTTTAATTAAAAATTCTCATTAGTATTGTAAGAAAACACTTATTTTACCTGGTCAAAAACAGCTCTGTTTTCAGCACGCCGTTTCAGTGCATATGCCTTTAAATGATCATGAGCTTCGCTGACTCCGCCTCTCTGCTCTGTGCGTACACCGTTTGTAACACAATAACACAATAACCATAACGCGTTGTTCATTATAAACGTGGAATTATGAATTATATTGAGAACGTCATACATAGAAAACATGCCGTAATGTACCCTGAGTGTAAACCTTAGACGCATTCATTGTGAAGCGTGCAGCTAGCGATTTGCAAAGATTAATATATTAATATAAAGTTTAATAAAACGTTTCACTCACTTCCATTCTTCTGGAGGTTCAGCAGGAACACGAATATCTGGTACCGATCCTTTTTAGCAAAGCTTCTTAGCAAAACCAGCTTTATACCTCCTCGTTTATAAAGCAGTCTGGTGTGTGAAATGATTCGCGCAAATATGAAAGCATTGACGTTGCTCGTGGGGAATATTCCCTTCGAAAACAAACTCAGCCACTGCGTCTTCAGCGGTTCGGATTTAGGAACATTAAAATGACTGTGTTCGTTATTACACCCAAGAACAGAACACCACAATCGCTTAGACGCCATTCTGCTCATAGACAGTGCTCCAGCATATCAACAATGACCGCGCCGGTCCGCGCAGACTATGATTGACAGCTCTCTCATGGAGCTGATCTCACCCGCGAGGGCGGGTCTGTGTCAATCAACAATCGCGGGAGGGGCTTCCGAGCGTGTGACGTCACACGGTCGAACGGCTCAATTTGAGGCAGGGGAAAACATATAAGGAAATTAAAACAAAAACACTGGATGGATTTTTATCATTATATGATGTTTGTGTACAGGCACTGCCAACACACATTTCAGTGCAATCAACCTGTAAAAGTGCATGTACCGTTATATGACCCCTTTAAAACATGCCCCACCACACATTTTTGACTCATTGAAGTACTGTCCCACATTAGGCTAATCATACTGTCCCAGATTTGGAAACCACATTTCCTAATGTGGGACACTAGTAAATTTGATAAAAATATAAAATATATAGTTTATACACATAAAGTTACACTATTTTTTGATGGACAAACATTTCATAAGCATATTAGGCTAAAAAGTAGCAGGATTGCTTTGTTTAAAATCTATTTAACTCCTTAACATCAAATTTGTTAAAACTCTATGTCATTAACCTTCGGATGGTCTTCACATAAGGGGTGCTTCTCATTTCTTATTTGTGCATCCTCGTTTCCTTTCCTCGCGTCTCAGCTCCACCCCCTGTAGGACGCGAGGGAAGGCTGCAAGGGAAGAAAAAATGAGGACAGAGGAATTGAATGAAAGCTTTTTTATACATTGGAATACTTGATCACTCGAGCGTCACTTCACTGCGTCATCAGCAGCGCTCAAAGGATCTGCCCTTATGTTGTTAAAGTTTGTTTATTTAAGAAATTCATAATAAATAATAATAAAGCAAGATACCTTGTTGAAATATGTGAGTTGTGTGGTTTATGTAAACTACAACAGTAAAGTATAAATTCAAATGATTGTGACAGATGTGAAGGGGGAGGAGAATTGATACGTGCGTCATGTTTAGTCGATAAAACTCTTCTGCAAAGGGTACACCTGTGCATCCTCGCTCATAGCTCCTCTGGAAGCCTCCTCACTCCTCGATCCTCGCCTCCTCGCGGTGCAATTAGAGAATTGAGATGTCCTTCAAGATGGCTGAGCTCGATTGGTTTCCGGGTCATAGGATGGAGGACGGAGGAGCGAGGAGACGAGGAGGGATATAAGGTGTCTCCTGTTTGATGATTGCTCCACCCTCAAATATGATTGGACATTTGATAAGTCATGTGATTTTGATCACATGACACCACAGCTTTGTCTAACCCATAGTTTCACTGTCATTCATGTATTTATGGGGGGCCTACAAACACTAGACCTTAGGTGTCCCACATTAGGCAGTGTCCCACATTAGGGCAATTCACCCTATGTTAAACTGACATCTTAAAGATGTCTATCAGATGTTAGTAAACAGCAGATGCTTTCCAGATGAAGTGATCTTTAACAGACATCTTGCAGATGTACGTGTGCTATCTGGGATTGAGGCCACCATCTAATTAAGAATTTTAAACAACAGATTTCTTGATATAATAGTAGATGCCATTTTTCCATATGAAATTATATATAACATTTTGTCAATACTTTTGATAATGTTGTCATCCACATGGAGTGCCTGAAAGTCTGGAGATTCCTTCCCCTTTGGCAAGTAAACCTTTTAGTATTGACCGATCCAGATCGCGCTTGCGTGACGTCACTCGGGCTCGTTCAGCCCGTCATGCACTGCGCAGACGTCGAATACACACACACACAACATCAACAACATGGAGCACAGTTCTCTCTCACTGACACCGAGTCTGTGTTAACAGAATCACGGCTGAGTTTGGTCCGGATCCGCCAATGATGGACGCGCCCGATGCGGGTGAGGTTATAGTGTTTATAATGTTTATGATGACGATATTCTGGATCTCATACCTGTTGCTGTCAGAGTTTTGCGTGTTATTACTCACACGAATGAGTTTTAACCAACTGAGATGAGACGACGAGTTTAGGCTGCACTCCGCTCGCTGACTGACTGATAGTTTGCTTGTTTGTTTGTGAATCAGTGAAACCGAAACCAGCCACACCGAGATGTGTGTGTTTGTTTTTCAGTTCTGGATGAAATATATTATCACAGGTTCAACTAGTAAGATTAAAGTTATCTTTCTTTCTTTTGCTTTCGCAACTCTATCAATGGAAAATATGCGCAGCGAGTCTCGACGTGTTTGATGATACTGTATCTGATGTGTGTGTGTGTGTGTGTGTGTGTTCCTGAATGATCAGATCATGTTACTGAAACTCATCCTGACGGGATTATGTTTCAAGTTTATGTTTCTTCGCGCGTACACTTACACACATTTATTTATAATATAATATTTATATTAACACGGTTCAACAAACATTATTTTTAGGCTTTTTTAACTCATTTAAGTTATTTATCTTTATTTAGTCATAAGTAAAACATCGTCAAAAGCATGTAGGCTACGAAATCAAAATTATGTTTTAGACAGGCATAAGCATGTCAATCATAAGCATAATTACGGTAAAATACTGGTTATGTTTATGATTTAGCTTATGCTTCTTACATCTGGTAATTTCTCAGAACTGAAGTGTGTTTATGGCCAGATTTACCAGCTGAATCTCTTCAGATCATCAAACACACACAGAGATGCTTCATGACACGCTTTCACACATTCTCAAAGCTGAAATTAGAAACATATATGGTGTGTGTGTGTGTGTGTGTGTGTGTGTGTGTGTGTGTGTGTGTGTGTGTGATGCGCAGCTTTAGGAGCGTCCTGACCCGAGACACAGAGAAACTGCTGGATTTACAATACGAATAGAGTCAAGTCTCCTTCATTGTAAAGCACTTTTAACAGTGTTTCAAAGCAGCTTTACAGGGATAATAGAAAGTAACAGATTGTTTAGGCTTTACAGCAGCTCTGTCCAGATAAAGTTAGTTTTGATTGATTCACTTCCGTTGTAAAGATCATTAGTAATTAACTTATAGCGGCCGCTAACAGGACACCTCTAACAGAAGACCCTTAACGCGATCTGGCCGCTCATCCGCATCTGGTGGCCCGAGAACACACTCCCTGAAACGGGTTCGATGGTGAAAGCGATTATCTGTTTACTCTGCGCAAACCGCGAAAACGCAGACGGCGCGCACATGCGCATCACGTGTTCAGTGGATGGGTATGCGCTTTATATGTGCGCAGGCGTGTAGTCCTTCACAAATCAACCCTCAACAAACTACTTTTTTAAATAAATAAATAAACATATGTATTCCATGTTCTTATCACATTCAATTATAATACACCCAATAAATAAGTTTCATTACTAATTAAAACCCAACCCCCCACACTCATTCACTGTAACCAGTGCTTCCTTAACACCCCATCTCCATTTAAAGAAGGGGACATTATTAACACCAGGGGCGTCATGCAAGCCAAAATTCTGGGGGGGCACAATCTGAGACGTTGCAATTGTTTTCTGACGGGTGATATGGATCATGTTAGGAGGGGTCAGGGGGGTTTCTCCCCCTGAAATTTTTTTAATTCTGGCTGCGAAACATACTATTTCAATGCAGTTTGGGAGGGACAGAAATACCTTAACGGAGCTTGCGGCAACACTCCTCTATCTGAGGACTAAGTTAAAGTATATGTGTATCTTATATGTGCATTATAAGATGTTTTGAAGGCCAAAAAAAACTCCTTAAGTTGAGCTTTGACTGATAGGCTTTTCATTTTTGTCTGTCAGTGAAGAAAGTAAACATAGGGTCAACTGATAGGTTGATTTATGAATCATTTTCTCAGACGAATTTATTTACTGAAAGCTACTAGGAAAGCTAGGTAGCCTAACTAAGTTTATTAAATTCATTCACAGTACACATTCATTATTGATCTTATGCCTAATACAGGGCCGTAGATAGGGCTTTATAATCACAGAGGTCCTAAATTTGAGGTGGGTAGGGGGTTAAAATTTTTTATTTCTCTGATATGTGCATTTCAAGACGTTTGAAGGCCAAAAACAGGATAAGAAATAGCTTTAAAACCATGTCAGTGGGCAGATTATTTGTCAATACCTGCTCTCACTTCTTATCCATCCAGGCCCGGATTAACACAGTGTAGTGCCCTAGGGTGACCACATTTTAAGTGCCCCCCACCCCCACCCCATTCAACTCAAATGCTAGTGCAACATGAACATGTCATACTAAATATCTTTATTTCCATAATAAATGGCATGTATGAGGACTACATGCAAAACCTTATGTCTAAAAAAAATCATATACCAAATAAGCAAGCCCAAGAATCAGCTAAATTCAGCACCACAGAGACGCACAGCAGCAAAACATTTAAATGCAACCAAATCAATTAGTAATCGGATTGACGGCTCAATAGAACTGAAAAGCTTTTATTCAACCTTTATTGATCCGATTGAGCTCGATCGGAATCAAATTTCGATCGGATTGAAAGGGGTGTTTTTTTCCTTTTCTAATCCGATCGAGAGAACATGTAAACACTTGATCGGATTAAAAACCGAAACTGAAAGGACTGCGTACATGTGCAATGACGTTGAAATAGCGTAATGACGTATGACGCTCGGAATGTTCTTCCTGTTGAATAAAGTGTCATATAATTAGGTGTCCCGTCAATTTAAAATTCTCCTTTCACTCAGCGTCTGGGAAGTGGAGCAGGACCAACCAGTCATTTTTCGGATTATCACCCAGAGACGACTGGTTTTGGACGCGAGAAGGGAGGGGCATTTTTACTGATAAATATAAGCAACACGGTACAACAACGGTTCATGTGCTCATTGTCCCCAAATTATGACCAGATATGGATAAATATTAAGCCTGCTGTTTAAAACAAATAAAGAACCAATGTAGGAGATGGGTATTATGCACAAACAGCTGGAAAATCTGTACTATATATTCAGCATACTAACGTTACCTCTTCCGATTTTAAGCTTGCGTATAAACGCGCACATCAACCCGATCACATGTTTAGCGTTCATGTAAACACTACATTCAGATTCATCAATCGGAATGAATTCAGTCCGATTGAAAAAAAAAAATTATGCATGTAATAAGCATCTCTAAGCAACCAGCTAAAAGAGAAAACCGTTCCAAATTTCAAATCGACAACAGCGTCACATACATTAGGCCTAGCCTATTTGCCCAGAAATAATGGTAAATAAGCCTTACCTTAAGCAGAACAACTTTTTCTAGACTTAGGCTACCGCCTTTGCTCACAACATTAGCAGCTGCTTGAGTATCGGTTGAGGCATTTTTCGCTGCTAGTGGCTTCTACTGATGCCGATCGATGTCTCTGTCTTTTCTTAATTTCAAAGAAATACGCTACTGTGACCTGACCCAATCGCAATTCTTTATATGCATATTTTATATTCTCTCTGTATAAATGTCATGATTAATTGTTAATTTTATATCTGCATCTCTTCCAGCAAAATAATATATATATACAAAACATGAAAACTATTTTAAAGGTTTAGTCATTCTCTTAATCATTTGGTGCCCCCCTATTGGCTGGTACCCTAGGGCACTCGCCCAATCCCGTCTATGGATAATCCGGCCCTGTATCCATCACTCTTTCTTTTTCTCTCAGTCTCCTGATCTTGCCTTCCCCTCCTAAAGCTGAGCTTTTTTAATTTACTTAAGGCTACAAATTGTACTATATTAATTCTCAATATGTACACATTCATTATTAATCTTGTGCCTAACAATGAAAACGTCTTTTCCCCTCACAATGACAGTAAACTATTAGCCTACATTACGAGTCACGTTACATAGGCCTATTTTCAGTTCAAAATGGCGAAATTAGACAAAAGTATATTCGTGTGCCTGATTATTTTTGTCATTTGTTTAACATTTATGAACTAAAAAAACTGTCAAATATGAAATGTTTAGTTTAGCTACTTACATCTCGCACTTGACTGTACACTGAAGCGTCGAGTCTCACTGCTAAAATTCGCGCTCAGCTTCTGTGAACATAAAGCCCGCCTACTTTGATTTGATTCGTCATCTCAAATATTCTGACATTGACGAGCAGTGACAGACCAATGAGGCTCAGATGAACACGCACGCACACACAAACACACACACCCTGTCCTCTGTTTCTGACGTGCGCTCTGCTCGGCACCGCTGCGGATTGAAGATGAACAACGCGCTGAATCTGATTATAACAAGACTGAAGAAATAAAAAATTATCAGGGAGGAAAAATCTGAGGGGGCACGTGCCCCCTCACTTTGAATGGGCATGACGCCACTGATTAACACGCTTGTGATATATATAATCTATAACCACTCCTGCTTCCACTAAGGATTTGAAAACAGACACCATACAAATATCTCCTCCTGATGAGATTTCAAAATTGCTAATTTAGCTTGACCTATGACAAAATTAGCAAGTACACATTGTTCTTGTAAAGATTTCATATAACAGCAGCCCAATATAAATAAGCTATTAGTATACAGAAACCGTAATTTTGTTATTATTTTTCTCAACATTACAAAAATAGGATCAAGTCTAGGGCAGTCACAAAACATATGAAAAATAGTATACAAAGCAGCACAAAATGGGCAATTCGATGTTTCAATTGACCCATATGTAAAGTTTTAACACATATGTGATACAATATTTTTTTCCCTATACAATCAAAAACCAATTTTCCATAACCCTTTAATAAGGAAACATAACCCGAGTCATCAATGCCACATTCTTTAGGAAACACTTTTAACTGAGGAAAGTTCAGAAATACAACACCATCCTCCAAAACATGATCAACAAAGTGATCTAATGATAGAGGAAAGGAGGATTCAAAACCCCTAACAAATCCTTCTATAAATCTAAGAGAGTTCAAGCCAACTTGACTGTGAAGGTCTCCATTGGCCTCTACTTAAATCAATAACTTTAGTGACACCAGTATTCAAAAATCTATTGATTAAAGACTGAGATGCATTTGATGGAAGCTCAAAAAGAGCTAAGGTTCTTCCACACCATAATGCTCCTCAACAGTTCTTGATATTTCAAACAAGTCCCATGATTTGAGCACTGAGACACAGAAACTAAAAGACAGATCAGAAAACTTTTCTTTTTCACAAAAGTTTTCTTCATTAGGAATAATTGTTTGTCAATACCTATTCCACCAATATCTTTAAGTATAGATCTCCCCAAAAACATCCATGGCACATTATTTGAACTACACACTAGTTTCTGCAATGTTAGCATCCTCATTGCCAAGATCTTTGACTCCAGATGTATAACTCCTCCCTCTGCCACTGGAAGGTAACGGACTCCTGGAGGAAGCCAATGACATCCATCCCAGAAAAAATTAACCAATACCTTTTGAACACTTTTAAGCAAGTCTTTAGGAAGGTCTAGAACAGTAAACTTATGCCACAACATTCAGGCAATTAAGTTATTAATGACCAATCTTCCTCTAAAAGAAAGCTGCGAAAGTAGCCATCTCCATCTCTGAAGTCTACAATTAACACGATCAACTAATCCCTCCCAATTCTTCTCTTCATATTGATCATTACCGAAGTAAACCCCAAGCATTTTGAATCCATCCCTGCCCCATTTTCACTGTTTTGGCAATTTTGGAGGTACAAGAATTTGCCAATCAGCCAGCAAAAAAAGATGTACATTTCCCCCAATTAATGCAAGCAGATGATGCTTTTTGAAAATTATTTAAACAAGATGTTAACCTGTTAATATCCTCAGAATTGTTTATAACTATCGTTACATCATCCGCATAAGCAGTAAGTGTAATGGGGGCAATTTCAGGGGAATCAGGAATAGAAACACCACATAACTGTCTCCTCAGCATAATTAAAGCGGTTCTATAGACATCGCGTACAGAAGGCCTGATAGGGGACAACCTTGCCTGGTGCCTCGAGTTACTGAAAAAGATCTAGTCAAAGATCCATTTAATCTTAAGCATACTATTAATATCACTATACAGCAGCTTAATACAAGTTACAAAGTATGGACCAAATCCAAAAGCTTCCCGAGTCTTAAACATGTAGTGGTGGTCTACTCGGCCGAAAGCCTTCTCCTGGTCCAAAGAAAGCAAACCAATATCCAACTTGTGTCTTTTTGCAATAGTAATGATGTCTCTCACCAAGAATAAATTGTCAAAAATCGACCGTTTAGGGATGCAAAAAGTTTGATCCACGTGGATTATGGTTGCCATATGTTGTTTGAGTCTGTTAGTCAATGTTTTCGACAAGATTTTAAAATCAACACAACAGTGAAACTAGTCTCCAGTTTTTTAGGCATCCAAGGTCTCCTTTTTTGGGGATCAATGTTAACATTGCTCTCCGGCAACTTAAAGGCAGAGTCCCTCCATTAATGCATCCCAAAAGGACATCATACAAATCTTGGCCCATTAGTTTCCAAAAGGATTGATAAAATTACACCGAAAGTCCACCAACCTAGGAGACTTCCCGAGGCTCAACTCCTGAACAGCCTGTGAAACCTCCGAGAAGGTTAAAGGATTGTCAAGCTTTATCCTTTCGTCCTCTGAAATGTTTGGCAGATCCTGTAAACACTGGTCTGCTGTTGAGTCATCACACTGGCCAGAACATCACACTGGTCAGAACAATACAAGTCCTCATAAAAAGAAATGGCATGATACTGAATCTCTTGTTGATCACTCGGCCATTTGGAAGCTTCAATTGATGGAATTGTTTTTGCTCCTTTGGCTTTTTTCCAAGTCCAAAAAAAAAAAAGTGGTGGGAATGTCCATTTCATTAAGTTGGGAAAATCTAGTTCTTAAGAAAGCAAATTTCCCTCTTTCCTCCAACAGATTTTTCAACAGAAGCTTACTCTGTGTGATGTGTTCAACAGAAGCTTACTCTGTGTGATGTGTTCAACAGACGTCATCACGAACATTTCTGAGGCTTTGTTCGAGAATCTTCATTTCTTCTTTTAAGCTTCCGATACTTTGTGCATTGTTGGCAAAAGATCTTTATATGGACTTTGCCAATATCCCACCATTGACTTAATGACTGAAATCTATTTCTCTCTTCTCTCTAAGATTCCCAGAAAAGATTGAAAAATTAAACAAAATTGTGATCTTGTAAAAGCCTATTATTGATATGCCACTGTGATTTATAGATTTTAGAAGAAACAACAGAGACAGATATTGAACAATAATGGTGATCAGAGAGAAAGGAAGGAGAAATACAACTATTAAAAAACCTATCTCTATGTCTTTTTCTAACATAGAAACGATCCAATCTGGCTCCAGACAATCTATTTGAATTTCTCTTTAACCAAATATCTTACTTTGTGTTCCGAAGATGAACGAAAGTCTCGCGGGATTGAACAACATGAGGGAGAGTAATTACTGACAGAGTTTACATTTTTGGGTGAACTATCCCTTTAACCAAGTATATTGTCTAACCCCAGGACAAGCCTCCCTCCATAAATCCACAGGTTTTTAATCCATAATCCAAAATTCCAGCACATAATGGATGGGGTTCATCATGATTCCGATCTAAAGATGGATTTATTGTAGAATTAAAATCCCCCCCATTACAACAACATTATCTTGAGGACGCTGTAACAAAGCATCAGAAAGTTTTCCAAAGAAAAGAACACGCTCCTGACCAACACTTGGTAAAGTATAATCAATTTCAGCAAGAGTAATATCTACTCGCAATATTCTACCAGGCATCATTTCTAGCATTACTGGTTGGTTACCAATACGAGACGAAAAGAGCATGGCAACACCTGCACTTAGATTTGTTCCATGACTCAATAAAGTGTTGCCCTTGCGATCTCTAACCCAGTGTGCCTGATTTTGTAAGAGTTTCTTGAAGCGATATTATATCTGCTTTTTTAAGATTAAGTAATCAAATAAAGCAGCTCTCTTTGCTGTGCCCCGGCAACCATTAATATTAAAGGTCCCGATGTTTAAGGATGTCATGTAGTCACTAAAAATGGGGCAAAACAAACCCAGAAAAATAAATGCATGGGGAATCATGACTATATATTATTATTTCTTATGACAGATCTTCAATCTTTGCTCAACAGCACTCATGTGTTTCTTAAGTCTGTAACGTTTGGGCTGGTCAATTTCCTCAAGTGTAGCTTTTCTCATAGCCATTAAACAGATTCAACAAACAGTTGTAAAGCAGGAAAACAAGTCTCTTGTTTAGGTCTTCGCTGGTTAAATATGGCATCAAGGAAATTATTAATCTGCTGAACAGAATAATGAGACTTCAGTTTAAAACTGGAGGCTTTCCCTTCAGAATTTCCTTGAATTCATCTCAGTCACACCCGTTTCATCGGATGCGGCACTGGCATAACCAAGTGTGTGTGAGAGTGAGAGAGCATCATCATCTCCTGTGCTTGTCTTCATCAGTGTTCTGGGATCGGCCCGCTCCGGTTGGTCATCTCCTGTTGGATCAGCTGCCCAGTTACCAGTCTCTGCTGTACCGCAGGAAGTCCAGCGTGAAGAGGCGGGGCAGTGGGCGGAGCCGGCAGCTGTCCGTCAGCAGTGGGAAGTGGGCGGAGCAGACTCACAGTGGGGAGGAGCTTAGACCCGTGCGGGAGCTTCCCAAGAGCATGCAGGACAAGCGGCGGGAGAAGTGCGTTCCTTATCATCATCATCATCATCATCATCATGTGAAGTGTCTGCGAATGTTCACTAGGGTCGGGTATCGCTAGGATTTTAACGATTTCAGTTTCGATTCTGCTTATCGATTCCGATTCTTTTCGATTCCAGTAAGGTAAAAAAAAAAAAAAACTTAAATATCATTCACATTTAATCTTATTGCAAAACATACACTCACCGGCCACTTTATTAGGTACCCCATGCTAGTAAGGGGTTGGACCCCCTTTTGCCTTCAGAACTGCCTCAATTCTTCGTGGCATAGATTCAACAAGGTGCTGGAAGCATTCCTCAGGGACTTTGGTCCATATTGACATGATGGCATCACACAGTTGCCGCAGATTTGTCGGCTGCACATCCATGATGCGAATCTCCCGTTCCACCACATCCCAAAGATGCTCTATTGGGTTGAGATCTGGTGACTGTGGAGGCCATTTTAGTACAGTGAACTCATTGTCATGTTCAAGAAACCAATTTGAAATGACTAGAGCTTTGTGACATGGTGGAAGTAGCCATCAGAGGATGGGTACATGGTGGCCATAAGGGATGGACATGGTCAGAAACAATGCTCAGGTAGGCCGTGGCATTTAAACGATGCCCAATTGGCACTAAGGGGCCTAAAGTGTGCCAGGAAAACATCCCCCACACCATTACACCACCACCACCAGCCTGCACAGTGGTAACAAGGCATGATGGTTCCATGTTCTCATTCTGTTTACGCCAAATTCTGACTC